ATTTGAACAATTGTTGCTATTTGCCAGAAATGGCTAGAAACATCATTTCTTTTCATGGTTTGTTTAGACAAGGTTTTATATTTTCTTTTAATAATGAGAATGGTTCTATTTTAGCTTATCTAAATGGTGTCTTCTACTTTGAAGCTATACCATGTAATGGAATTTATGAAACTGTTATGATTGTTGATAACTTAGGAAATGATGTTTTGTACTTGGATTCTTCCAATAGTATGGATAAGGCATCGTTATGGCATTGTCATCTTCGACATGTCAACAAGAAACGCATAGCCCAACTCCAAAAGGATGGAGTGTTGGAGTCATTCGACCTTAGGGAAGATGACGCATGCGAGTCTTGTTTACTTGGAAAGATGACTAAGTCACCCTTCGCTGGTACGTGCGAAAGGGGTGAGGGTCTATTGGACCTCATACATACCGATGTGTGTGGACCGTTTAGATCTACCACGAAGGATGGAAAGCGCTTCTACGTGACTTTTACCGATGACTATAGTAGATATGGGTATATCTACTTAATCAAGCAAAAGTCAGAAACTTTTGAAAAGTTCAAAGAGTTCAAGAACGAAGTGGAGAATCAATTGGGCAGGAAGATCAAGATGCTTCGATCAGATCGAGGAGGAGAGTACCTAAGTCTTGAATTCCACGATTATTCAAGGAGTGTGGAATAATTTCACAATTGACGCCACCTAGGACACCACAATTGAATGGTGTGGCAGAAAGGCGTAATCGAACCTTGTTGGACATGGTTCGCTCTATGATGAGTCGTGCTTCACTATCTATCTCTTTTTGGGGGTATGCCTTAGAGACTGCCGCCCATATCCTTAACCGAGTCCCTACTAAGAAGGTTACCAAAACACCTCACGAGATGTGGACGGGGAAAGCTCCTTCGTTAGCACATATCAAGGTTTGGGGTTGCGAGGCTTTCGTAAGACGAGATACTCACGACAAGCTCGAACCTCGTAGTGAGCGATGTATTTTCATTGGCTATCCGCAAAAATCCTTTGGATATCTCTTCTATAGACCGAAGGACAATGTTGTCTTTGTTGCGAGGAGAGGAGTTTTCCGAGAGCGAGAACTCATAAGCCAAGGAGACAGTGGGAGGCAAATCATTCTTGAAGAGATTCAAGAGTCGATAGATGAAGGAACCTCTACCGCTGGCGCTCAACCCGAGGAGGAAACTCCGGTTGAACCGATTGATGTATCATTACCTCTTAGACGTTCCGAAAGAGTTAGGTTTCAACCCCAGTTGTATGGTTTTCATATTACTACCGAAGGGGACACGTATATTAGTGATAGTACACTAATAAACCTTGATGAACCTAATAGCTATAAGGAAGCCATGGCAGGCCCGGAGTCTGCAAAATGGAAAGAGGCAATGGATAGCGAGATCCAATCCATGTATGATAACCAAGTTTGGAATTTGGTTGATAATGTACCCGGACGTAAGACCGTTGGATGCAAATGGATCTTCAAGAAGAAAACCGACATGGATGGAAAAGTACACATGTATAAAGCACGATTGGTTGCGAAGGGCTTTACTCAAACTCCCGGAGTTGACTATGAAGAGACCTTCTCACCAGTTGCGAAGATAAAATCTATTATAGTGATGCTAGCTATTGCCGCATATCATGATTATAAGATTTGGCAAATGGATGTCAAGACTACTTTCCTTAACGGGAAGTTGGCTGAGGATGTTTACATGGCTCAGCCAGAGGGGTTTGTGGATCCAAAGCATCCGAATAGAGTGTGTAAGCTTGAGAAGTCCATTTATGGACTAAAGCAAGCATCTCGCAGATGGAATCTTTGCTTCGATGAGAAATTCAAAGAGTTTGGATTTGTACAAAGCGAAGATGAATCGTGTGTATATGTTAAAGCCAATGGGAGTGTAGTAAGCTTTCTCGTTCTATATTTCGATGACATTTTACTCATAGGAAACGATGTCCCGACTCTGCAGGAGGTTAAGTCCTGGCTTGGGAAGTGCTTCGCTATGAAGGACCTCGGAGAGGCTTCCTATATTTTGGGAATAAGGATAGTAAAGAGAAAGAAGTAAGAGACTAATAGGACTTAGTCAGAACACTTACTTAGGGAAGGTACTAAAACGTTTTAGTATGGAAAACTCGAAGAAGGGAGAATTACCGATACAAAGCAATGCCAAGTTGAGTAAGACTCAAAGTCCGAGTACCGAAGCTGAGATAGCTGAAATGAGCCGAGTTCCATATGCTTTCGCAGTTGGGTCAATCATGTACGCTATGACTTATACTCGCTCTGATGTAGCCTTTGCTTTGAGCATGGTTAGTAGATATCAAGGGAATCCAGGCAGAGCCCATTGGGTTGCGATGAAGAATATCCTTAAGTACCTTCGAAGGATGAAGGAATGGTTCTTAGTCCTTGGAGGGAGTGATGACTTAAAGGTGCGAGGGTATAGTGACGCCAGTTTTCAGACCGACAGGGACAACTACCGTTCGCAGTCGGGCTGGGTCTTTACCTTAAACAGAGGAGCAGTAACTTGGAAAAGTTCCAAGTAGGAAACCGTAGCTGATTCAACGTGCGAATCAGAGTACATTGCAGCGAGCGAAGCGTCGAAGGAGGCAATATGGCTTAAGAACTTCATTGGTGATCTTGGAGTTGTACCTGCCATAAAGGAGCCCATGGAGATTTTCTGTGATAATGAAGGAGCGGTTGCCTTGACCAAGGAACCGAGAGATCATGGTAGATCACGACATATCGACAGAAACTATCACTTTATTAGACATCGTGTAGAAGAAGGACAACTCGTAGTGAAGAGGATATCATCAGAAGATAACCCAGAAGATCCGCTTACGAAGGGACTGAGTAGGGTTAAGCATTTGCAGCATGCTAGGAGTATTGGGCTGAAGGATCATATTAGCGTAGATTAGATAGTATTAGAAACGTGTAATAAATAAATGTAATTAACATTTGATGATTAAATAAAGGAGTTTTATTTATAAGTAATGTTACTATCTTATGTTAATTGTTTAGCTATTGTTTCACTTTGTATGTTTTGACTTCCAGAATAATTGAGTTTATTAGGAATAATCGAACTGTTCAAATAGTCCACAATCATTCATATGTCGGAAGTAGATATGAATGAAGATTGTCATGAATAGGTGTGTAGAGTGTCTAAATGGTGTTAGAAATAGCAAAAGATTGCTGCAACGTTCATCAGTGCTTATGAACTAGTTTTGAGCATTGGAACAAACCCGCGCTTGCTGGAATCACCTTATGGAATGTGATAGTAAATGGGTGATCGCAAGATGATAATATCATATAGTCTTAAAACCTAGATATATGGTTTGTTATTGGTTAATTGATTGTACATTGATAATGCGAAAACGCATTGGTAACTCGATGTTATAAAACGCATTGTTGTGTGTAGTTGGTTAATGAATAAGTAAATGCATATAAGTCGAAGTTTATCTGTAACTTTTATCTTTTGAAGGAAAAAGTGATCTCTCGGCCGCTCAATGATTTGATTTGACTTATGTGTCGGGCCCGGTCAGAACTGAATTGATGTGTTCGATTAAGTTCTATGTCAAATAAATCGGAAATCGAGAAACCAAATGCTAGACTAACTATTCCATAGTATTGTCAGCATGATATCTAACAGAGGACTGTAAGATCCCTTATCTGAAGGACAAGATTGATTAGATCAGAGTTTGACATCGTCATTGAGAGCTACGATTGCAAATCAGAATGTACCTGCGCATATAGTTACTATACTTATCCAAGTGGGAGACTATTGGAATAGTGTCTAAGGCTGCAACTATATAAGGCAAGTATTTGACCCGATTGTGCATGGTCCTTTTGGGTTGCCTTCACTATAGCAACTTGGTAGGATGATTTATTATGAGAGAATAGATATTATTAATATATTATGAGAATAATATAAGGAATAATAATATAGTTATTTGATTAATATAAGTCATAGATTAATTAGTATTAATTTGGTGAGTTAAGGAGATTAATTAAATAAGAGGGTATAAACTGTCAATTGTTTGATAGTTGAACTTTAGACTGTAAATCCATATTGATATGCATTGGACGGATTCTAGAAGCTAAGGATTGCTTCAAATTGTCCAAGGGGTTATCTAAGGAATGGATTTGGATAGCTTTAAGAGAAGATTATCCAATTAGGGTTTAGGTTGTGACCCTTAAGGAGTCTACAAGTATAAATAGACCCTATGGCATAAGGAAATCAACACTTCACCTAAAGTAGAGAAGCTCTGGCCGAATTCCTCCTCTCTCCTCTCTCTCAAATCATCCTCTTTTCTAGTTGGTGTTTGTAAGCCATTAGAGGAGTGATAATTGTGACTCTAAAGCTCCAAGAACAAGAAGATCAAACAAGTGTCTCAAGGTATGATTCTAACTTTGATTTTGTGTTGTTCTTACACCTAATTAGTCATTAGAAGTCTTGGATTCAAAGCATGTTTAACAGAGAAACCTAGATCCAAGCATTAGGGTTTGTATGCGCACTTAGGAATGTTCTTATGTACAAAACCCATCATTTTCAAATTCACATCCTCTCTCACCTTCTTAACCTCCTGCACAAAAAGAACATGTCTTTCTTTTACTACACTTCTTAAATCTTTCACTTCCCCCAGAAAATCAAATCTTTGATTTTTAAGACGTAGCTCAGTTGTTTGATCTGAATAATCAACCTTCTCCATAAGCACAGTCTCTGAAGCCTTCAACATCCCTGATACTTTGGCAATTATTCTGGATTCATGCATCTTTAGCATTGAATCAACCTCCAGACTAGAAATTGATGAACCTCCTCCAAGATCAGCTTGGGATTGAATAATGGAGTTCATCTTTTGAATCAAGATCTTGTATTGTTTCATCGTCACGAGCATGTGATCAGGGAAATCTTCTTCTTCATCTTCAAATTCCAAGTCTTCGAATGTTCCTCCAAACCCTTCATGATCTGTTTCAGTGGGTGAAGTTGTTTTGTGGGTTTCAGTTGATTAAGAAGAGAACATGGAAGTGATTGGTTGATTGAGGATGTGTTCAAAGGTTGGAGATATAGTAGTTGAAGTAGAATGAATGGTTGATGTTGGTGGAACAGAAACGAAAGTTTCAAAAGGAGTAGAGATAAAAGAACCTTGAGTTGCATCCTTCGAAACATTTTCACTCAATCCTGAAGTTCGTACCTCCTTAACAAGTGACTTGGAAATCGAAACTTCAGGGGTGAATATGATTGTGGTCTCTGGAATTGAGCTTGTAATAATAGTGGTCTCTGGAGTTTCTGGTACTCGCTCATCTCCTTCAGTAGACTCACTTGATAAAACAATCTTCCTAGCCTTCTTCGTCTTCTTCTTCGTTGGTTGGGATAAATGTTTCACCATATCTTCGGCTGCCCTTTTCTTGGATGCAGGAGAACCAGGAACCGGAACCTCACGAAACATTATACCTTGATGAGAAAGTTGAGGTTTGTGAAGCAGTTTCTTAGATGAAGATTTGCATTTGTGCTTGGATTTCATATTGATTCTTCGAAACATCCTTGTTTTCGAAGGAATCATCCCATCTTCTTGTGACTCATCCACAACTAGTGTAATCACTGTTGTTGCTTTGACTGTCATAGAGGTTGAACTCTTTACTTTCTTCGCGGGAAAAGTAGGCTCATCTTTCTTTGACTTCTTAGTGTTCTTGGCTCCACGTGGTAGTAAAATTCCCGTAGCAATAGAAGAATCAAAAGTTTTTACATATGCCTCCAAGACAGGATTCGAAGGATTCACTTTTTAAGCATTGCATCGAGAATCCGAGCAACACTTAGAAATTCATCAGCATCATCAACGACCTCCTTTGGAAAATGATATGATTGAAAAGTAACATTTTTGTCTTCATTAGAAACCAGAATACCTTCTTTGTTGTAGAAATGTTGTAAAATGAGACTCCAGTACCGAGCACACGATATCCCATGGACAACATTCGTGAGTTCTACCCCTTTCTGGAACTCCTTCCATAGTTGTGTTGAATAATTAGTAGGAAGATCATAGTATAGACTAGCCACCATGGTATATATCTCCATTCTTCCTTTATCCAAGCCAACTGTTCTTCCGGCTAGACAACGCAAAAATATTCCAAACAAAAAGTTCCATATTTTTGGAAGACCAGATTTTTTAAAATCACTGATCTTTGACAATGGGGGCTGATATCCCATTTCATTAAACATGTGTATGATTTGAGAGAATTGAAATTCAAGAAATGCAGGTGTATTTGGAATATCAAGAATCTGCAAAAACACTTTCTTAGAAAGCCTAACCTTCTTATCATTGATTAAAAGAAAGGTAATCGAATCAGTGGCTTTATTGTAGGTAGCTGTTGATCCTGCTTGAGAAAGCCAGCATAATGGAACAGAAAAAGAGTTAAACATTGTTTTTGATAATACATAGTGTTTTAGTGCAACAATCAACATTTTGAATTCCTCCGGACACTGTGAGAGTTCACCATTGACATAATAGTTGGTAGATTGAATCTTCATTATTGGTACTGAGGATGTATCTTCAGTGGAAACATCAACATGAGAAGTAGTCGTCATTGTTAGGGTTTGAAGAAGATGAAGAACAGAGAATTTGGGGAATTTTGGATTGTATGATCGCGTAAACATAGAATGTACTCTGACCCCCCTTTTATATGTAACACTGGATGATTTGAATTTGAAGCGGGATGCATTTAATGAAATCCAACGTGGCACTTTGAAAATCAAACCAGTTCTGCGGAAAGTTAGCCATGCGTTAAAAAGCATCTGTCACATCTCCTAGAAAACTAGGTTGAATACCATACGTCACGGTTACACAACCTATCACAGTCCCCTTTATTGAATAGTAACTGTTAGAACCCTTCGAATGGAGGCAAGGCTCTTTCACTTTTGGGATGAAAAGTGAAGTCATATGCTAGATGTTCGAAATCATCAGCCTGAGTTGGTATTACTTAGAACCTCAAGGATTTCGTGTGTGAAGTGTGCCAAAGAAAGGTTAGACAAGAAACAATTAAAAAATTTTGGAATGTAGTGATGTCAAAAATTCAATTTGACACAAATACATATAAACCCCGGGCAAAGGTTGCTTCGTTAATCATCAAGAGAGATGATCAACAGCTTGTGTATGTTCCTGTGAAGTACAATTGACTACTTTTTGACAAGCATCAAAGGGCTTCTTTTAAAAGTAATTCTTGGGTTGGTTTAAAATTTCGTTACATGTCATCCTAAACATAAGGTGATAAATTGTAACAGAAATTACTTGTTTGACCAGTGTAGTCAGTGACAAGTTTGCTTTGAAAAATATGATCATGACAAGGATATGCGAATGAAACACACACTAAAATCATATTCATAAAAAATTATGTTCTAGATCTTCTTGGGTTTCGAATGTTTGATCAAGACCACGCATTCGAAATGAATATGATTTGAAGTTTCGAATTTTGGTACAGAAACAAAAGTTTCGTTAATATCTGGAACAATGTTCCCTGTCAATTCCTTAAGTTTCAAGATATTTGGGTTTCACTTTCATCACGGACTCATGATGTCAGATCATTAACACATAATTTTTTATATGTCTAAGTCTCGATGGGTTTGATCAGAGACCTCTCGGACATACGTCTTTGTGTGTGATCGTGTAAGAATGTGTTGATGAAAAAGATTGGTGTAAGACACGAAAAGTACCTCTATTATGTTTTGGACCAAACAGAAAACTCTTAACTCTATTTGAGAAGAGTAAGGTAGCTTAGAGACTAATGTGAATATAAGACTGATTGGGAAGAATTTTTCATATGAAAAAGTTCATTAAGGCTTTCGTACACACACATTGAGTCATGGAGGCTTTGGTCGACATGCAGCAGCATGCTTCTAGGGACAACCTAACTAATTCGAATAATGAAAAAGATAGTCATGCATACGAAAAAAATTTACCTGTCCCCAATACTACTTGCTTTTTCCCTTCCAAATCTTCATCAAAATCCGTAACAAAATTCTCAAAAAAATGAAAAATATTTTTGTTGTTTTTGAATTTTTCGAAAATTAAAAAAATGAAAATCGTTTTGAATTTTTAATTTTTATAAATTTAAAGACAAAACAAAAGAAAATCTTTTTGTGTTTTTGATTTGTTGCAAACAAAAAAAATTTGACATTCTTTGAAAAGTAACAAATGTACGAATTCGAAGCATTCGAAGCGTTGACTATGCATAGTAACCACTGATGCAACGCTAAAGATCAGTGACAATCATGCGAATTCGAAGCGGTCGAAGCGTTGACCATGAACAGTAACCGCTGAATGCTAAATAACTTTGTTCATCGCCTCTGACTCATTCTTTTCGCTTAGTATTCATCTTTTTCACACTAAACAGAATTTCCATCGATCATTCCAAGACCTTTTATTATTCGCATTAGAGACTTTTCATCCAAAGCTTTCGTGAAAATATCAGCTAACTGATCAGTTGTTTTCACGAAATGAACTTCAATATTTCCATCCTCCACGTGATCTTTAATGAAATGATAACGAAGAGCTATGTGTTAATCTTCGAATGCTGCACAGGATTATGACAAATTAATATTGCACTTTGAGAATCACAATATAATGGAATCTTTTTCATATTAATTGCATAATCACGTAATTGACTTTGAATCCATATTATTTGCGAAATGCATGCAGCAGCAGCCACATATTCTGCTTCATCCGTGGAAATCGACACACATGTTTGCTTTTTCGACTGCCAACTCACTAATTTGCCATCAAGTAATTAACATCCACCACTTGTGCTTTTTCGATCAAGATTACAACCACCCAAGTCTGCATCTGAGTATGCTTGAATGAAGAATCTTGTTTTCGAAGGATACCACAATCCTAACGAAATAGTGCCTTTCAGATAACGAAAAATATTCTTCACAGCAATAAGATGTGGTTCGCGTGGATTAGACTAATACCTAGCACAATTACACACAAAAAACATGATATCAGGTCGACTTGTTGTAAAATAAAGTAACGAACCTATCATGCTCCTATACAGCGTAATATCAACAGCAGGTTTGTCTAATGATGGTGTTAACTTTATTCCCATTGCCATTGGTACACGAAGCTTTGTGCTATTCGTCAATCCAAACTTTTCAAGCGGATTTTTCATATATTTTTCCTGATTGATGAAAATCCCTTCTCTATTTTGACGAATATTCAGTCCAAGGAAATTATTGATTTTTCCCATCATGCTCATTTCAAACTTGCTTTTCATCAAGTCTTCAAATTCTTTAGACAAAGCAGGGTCAGTCGAGCCAAATATAATATCATCAACATAAATTTGAACAAGCATAAGATGATTCCCTACTTTCTTTCGAAATAGTGTAGGATCAACAGATCCTTGTTTAAATTTAGATTGTTTCAAAAATGATGTAAGTGTTGCATACCATGCTTGTGGTGCTTGTTTTAGACCATAAACTGCCTTATCTAAAATATAAACATGATTAGGAAATTCTTCGTTAATAAAACCTGGGGGTTGTTCCACATATACCGTTTCTTCAACCTCTCCATTAAGAAATGCACATTTCACGTCCATTTGATAAACATCAAAATCTTTGTGAGCTGCATAGCCATGAATATTCGAACCGCCTCGAGTCTTGCGACAGGGGCAAAAGTTTCTTCATAATCGATTCCTTCTTGTTATGAATAGCCTTTTACAACAAGTCTGGCATTATTTTGAATAATTTTTCCATCTTTGTTGGTTTTTTTTGTAAATCCATTTAAACTTGACAATCGAAACATTTTCGGGTTTAGGAATTAATCTCCAAACCTTGTTTCATTCGAATTCAGACAATTACGATTGCACTGCAACAAGCCAATCTGAGTGTTCCATTGCATTCTTAACTGTTTTTGGTTCAATTTTAGAAATGAAAACATTAAACATACAAAATTCTTGATGATTATTCAATACCTCATTCTTTGCACGAATTTGAGCTCTTGTTAACACTCCTTCGTGTGGATTCCCAATCACTTGTTCCTTCGGATGGTCTCTAGTCCATTTTTCCATGGGTGGATATGCTGGATCAAATTCCAAATGAGCATCTTCAAATATTTCATCATATTCTGACCCTGCATTTGTAACAGCCCGTTATTTCAAGTCAGTAAAAATCGAGTCCTGTAACCTCTTTGAGAAAGGAATTAGAATATCATCGAAAAATGAAGTATTCAAAAACTCTATTTGGAGTACACTATGTGGTAGTTCTCGTCTTAAGGTTTCCAAACATATAAATAACACAAAAATCCGAGTTATAACGAAGAAGTTATGATCATTCTAAGTTTTCCGACAAAAACCGGCAATACGAAGTTGCGTAAAAACGCAAAGTTTCAATAAAACACTTTCTGACCTTAGGTGTCTAAATGAAAGTCGTAGATATCGTTAAACTACAAACATGCATAAAAAGAACGCTCAAATCGGACATCGTATGAATAAGTTATGAATTTTTAAAGAAATTCCTTAATCACGTCATTTTAATAAATAAATAATAAAAATAATTCTGGAATTTTCCAACGGAATCTAAATGAAAGTTGTAGATCGTAGTCTCACCTTTGCGGGGATATAAAGAACGTCAAAAACG